AATCCCCCCCCTATACTAACCATATAAACCACAAAAAAACAATCTTGTCTACCCATTCCCCCCTCTTTGATCATTCCCAGACTAATAAACAGCTCTACCGTCTTTACGTACCACCGTAAACAAGAAGAAGAAACCCAAAAAGACCAAACAAAAAAGAAGAGAGGAATTCAGGGCAAAAATGAAACTCAGATCAATTGGAACAGCAGGTCTTCTTGTTACCATTACCATTGAGATTCGCGACGTTAATCGTCTTCCCCTGCGGCACGCCGGAGGCATTGGCCGCTTCCTGAGCGGCCAGCGCCTTCTTGCTGATGATCTGATAAATGTCAAGCAAGATCGTCTGAAACGCCCTCTCGACGTTGAACGCCTCGAGCGCCGACGTCTCGAGGAACGAGAGCCCTTCCTTCTCCGCCAGCATCTGCGCGTCCTCCGCCGACACCGCCCTCAGGTGGTTCAAATCGGACTTGTTCCCGGCCATCATGATCACGATGTTCGAGTCCGCGTGGTCGCGCAGCTCGCGCAGCCACCGCTGCACGTTGTCGAACGTCTGCCGCTTCGTGATGTCGTAGACAAGCAGCGCACCCACGGCTCCTCTGTAGTACGCGCTCGTGATTGCTCTGTACCTCTCTTGCCCCGCCGTGTCCCATATCTGCGCCTTCACCGTTTTCCCTTCTACCTGATTTTTTTTTTTTTCAATTTCGGGGAGGAAAGGTGGAAAATTGATGAATGCCCAGAAATCAGTATCGGATTCCATAACCAGATCAGACGAAGAATTGAAAAAAGTTTGAACGAATACCTGGAGGGTCCTGGTGGCGAATTCTACGCCGATGGTGGATTTGGATTCGAGGCAGAACTCGTTTCGGGTGAATCTGGAGAGGATGTTGGATTTGCCGACGCCGGAATCGCCGATCAGGACGATCTTGAAGAGGTAATCGTACTCATGATCCACTTTGTATGCCATTTTATGGATGCTCTGTTTCTGGGTTCAACCGGCCAAACCTGGCGACAGCGGGAAACCAAAAAACAGAATCAGGGGAGGAAATGTAAGAACAGGCGGGGAAGAAGTTCAGCAGGGGGGGAAATACCATAAAATTATGGCGGAAAAAAAGTTTGACGCTTGTTGGTGTTTTTGAATTTCTTTTGTCTATTGGATTTTGGTTGTTTCCATGTTTTGTTTTGTTGTTCCACCTGAGAGAGAAGTTGAGAGGCTGGAGGCAGGGGAAGAGAGAGAAAGAGAGGAGGAAGAAAACCCATGGCCAGAGAAATAAGGGACGAAAGGGCATACGAAACGGCTGTTTGTTTGGATTTAGGAGCGAAATTTGGGGGGTTTGGGTATTCACGGGCCACGGGCTTGTCCTATTAGATGGACTTAAGCCTCAGAGCCCAAGTAAGGGATTCCAAGCCCGTGTACGAAAAAACTCTATAGAACGGTTCCATCTAAGCGAATCCAATTTAAATTTCGTGGAGCCAGTTCTTAGATGGACTTAAGCCTCAGAGCCCAAGTAAGGGATTCCAAGCCCGTGTACGAAAAAACTCTATAGAACGGTTTCATCTAAGCGAATCCAATTTAAATTTCGTACAGCCAGTGACGGACTCAGAAATTTTACACAAGAGTGTCCTCTTTCAAAAAATAAAGTAAAATAAAAATTATATAATTAATAAAAATTATATAATTCTGAAATAAGAAAATATCCACTCGTACAAGTTTAAAAAAGTCAATGATGTATTTTCATATTCTAAAAAAATTATAAAATACATTTGGAGTCTACACTGCTCAACAAATTTGTCTCGGTATATCCTACTAGACAATCATTCACGAACTGACGCATATTTGACTTCTAAATTTGTTCTTGATGTAACTCAAAGCTGAAAAGACACTTTCAACACTTGTCGTACAACCATAAATTCCATACAAATTAAGGATAGCTTGTAATTAGATTAATTGTTAGGTTTTGAAAATAATTAAAGATAGAGAATAGGGTTTTGCTATTACACAGTGTTTAGAATAGAACAACAAAAAAGTTGTAGTCTAATGGAAATTATATTTATTAGTAGTAGTAGTGTCCCGGGTTTGAATTACCCAAACTATCACTTATATTCCCATACCCAAACTACAAATGAGAGTAGGATAATCGTTCTTTCAAATTTCAGGGTGTCCCGGACTATTAATTATAATTTTTTTGTCTATACGTATATTACCACCGGGGGTTGTATAATCGATCTTCCAAAATTTAGAGGTGTCCCGAAATGCCCCGTGGAGGAGTTTGGTTATAAGCTTATACCCTCATTGCCTCATTGGAAGGTTGAGGGCATTCTTATTTTTTTGGTAGAAGACAGACGCTAAAGCGTTCTAGATCATCTCATTAATATCGCGACACAAGGAAACAATGTTGTCATACAAGAGCCAGTAGCACAAGTTCGGGTCGCTCACATTGAACAAATGTGTGCCAAAAGTATGGGAGTGCCCCCTTAGAAGCTAAGAAGTCAGCTGAAAAATTACCCTCCCAAAATACATGGTTAATTTCAACAACCCACTCCCTAGCAAGAATGCTCTCAAAGAGCTTAGCAACGTGACCATGACAATGATCACTATTACTTCTACTTCTAATAATAGCTAACGCAGTAGTAGAGTCAAGGTTGAGCTTCACTCTTCTATGACCAAGCTGCCAGACCATTTCCAGCCCTTCCACGGCTCCTTTCAATCCAACTCGAGTGATGGTGCACCTCCCGATATTGCTAGCAAACTCCCCCAAACATCTTCCCAGGTGGTCTTGAATGAGGCCCCCTACAGCAGCATGACCAGAAGGTTGGACAACTGATCCATCAGTTTGAACCTGAACCTAGCCTTCATTTGGAGGTTTCCAGGCAATCTCGAGTCTGGATTTGGTCTTGTGCACAGGTGCGAGGCATTTCTCAACATTAATCAGTTGGCTGTTGATGTGGATCCAAGCATTCACCCTCTGAATCAGACCAGCTTCCGAGTAGGTCTTGCCATTCATTGCTTCTTCATTTCGTTGTTTCCACAGGTTCCAGCAAATTCTGCCAAAATCAATACCTGTCAGAGAATATGCTCTATTGTTTCTTCTGTTGTTCTGTAGTAGTTGCACATTCCATCTTCAGTAAGCTTTCTCTTTTCTCTTTTCTTGTTTGTGAGTAGTCTGTTGTGGTTTGCCAGCCACAGGAAATGCTTGATACAGCCGAGACCCTTCCATCTCCACAGGTCTCTCAATGCATCATGGAGTGTTGTCCACATCTCCTGCCACCGGTGAGTAGGCTGACTTGAGCCTGAACCTGCCATCCTTCTCGATTCCCCAGACTGTTCGATCCTCTCCTAGCTCAGAGTTAGGCGTATTTGTCCCTGCAATAATAAAGATCATCTCATTAGGGAGGTATACCCTCATCCTATCCCAGTCCCGCTCACCTGAATCATTAGTCCAACTAGAGACTGATGCACTTCGTTCTTCCTCAGTAAGCTCTTTCAGGGCAAACTCCTCCATGATCAGACCATTCTGAACCCAAGGATGGGTCCAGAACCCAGTTGTGTCCCCATTTCTGACACTCCATTGAGTGGCTTGTTTCATGTAGGGTATTGCTTTAATAATTCCCTTCCAGAGACTAGAATGATTACTACTCTTTATTTTTGTTATTATGCCATTCTTATGATGAAAGTATTTTCCCTGTAACACTTTAACCCATAGATCTTGTTCATTGTTAAAAAGATTCCAAGCAAGCTTAACCATGTATGCTAAGTTCAAACTCCTAGCAGACCTAAGACCAAGCCCCCTGGTCTTTAGGCTTACACACAGAGTCCTAGGAAAGCAGGTGCACTTTCTTTTTAACCTCAACCGAACCCCACACAAAGCCTCTGATTTTTTGGTCAATTAAATCACGGATGAAAAGAGGGAGCATTGACGTTTGCATTGCATAGGAGGGAATGGAGCTAAGAATAGAGATAACAAGAGTCACCCTAGCTCCCTGCCAATGAGAGGGATCTTGCCTTCCACGAGGAAAGCTTCCTATCCATCCTCTCAAGGATGTACATGGATTATTTATAAGTTTTAGTAATTTTTTCAAACTCGGTTATGAGTGAAGAATATATACTCTTTGCATTCATTTATTAAAAGAAACTCGAGATGGTTTCAGACTCTCAGCGTTATGTGATGATTCTTGGAGTTATTTTTGAAAATTTTCAAATGAGACCATCCATTTTTGGACCGACTTAAAAATTATCTTCAGATGTTCAAAAATGATATAAAAAAGCATATTTTTCAACATATTCTACGAGAATTGGATCAGGTGACTGATGTGTTAGTAGGATTCGGACACGAATGTTTGACAAGCCAATGATTACATAAAACTTTGAAGCTAGTTGGAGCTCTTCTTCTATTTAAAAAAACCCTTTGGATGTCATCACTTTTATAAGAAAGAAAGAAAGAAAAATTCTAAGGGTGTGATTCCCACCAAAAATTAAACAACAAAAGAAAGCACACATGTGCAAGAAATCTTTCATATTAGTAAGCCGCACGAAACCCATATCAATGTTTGATAAGGTCTTCACCCCTCCTCTACATGACTTTTGACTTTTGTCTCACTATCACTAATTATACATATACTTGGTCAAGCTTCGAGTTAGTAGTCAATTCACTTCCGAAAAACCTACTAATTAATTTACACCACGGCCCACTGACCATTCCAATCCTAACGAGGCAACTAATCATGACTCCTTCCTAATTAAGACCTCGAAGCTGATTATTGATTAGTTTCCTCGAAGCACCGGTCCGATTTGACCATGTCATAAATATACAAATAATGAGCAGGTGAACCCAATTATTTGTCTAATCAAATGGGTTATCATTAACATGATGTCAACGTCGACTACTCCGTTCATTCATATATAAAGACCCTTCAGCTATACTCTTAACACCTTGTACTGCAGGCAGCTGCTTTCTTTCTTCACAACGTTCAATCCTATAGCTAGCTAGCTTGCAATTCCAATAATCATGGCAAGCAAGATTTATGCACCTTCTTCTTGTCTCTTCTTGCTCATCATGATAATTAGCACGGGACTGATTGGTTCTGGCGGTGCTGATCATGGCAACTCTGACCATGGAAAGGTAATTAATTAGGAACTCTAATATTTGATTAGTACTCAAATTAGAAAGATATATAATCCACTTATTATTCATGTGTGTTTTGTGCAGTCTTATATAGTGTACATGGGCAACCGGCACGAAGGAGGTGAAGCCGCTGCTCAGTCTCTTCACTTGAACATGTTACAGCAAGCCATTGGCAGGTAATTACCATTAGCTTAAACCTATACTGTAATTAACATATCAGATTGTAACATTGAGGATGGGATTACCACTAATCACCGTGAAATAATGGGTTTTTTTCAGTGAATTTGCTTCGGAATCTCTTCTCCATAGCTTCAAGAGGACATTCAACGGGTTCGTAGCCCACCTCACCGACCACCAAGTCTCAAAGATCGCTGGTAATCACTCTTCTGTAATCACTACAACAGAAAAAGGGTATCAATTCGTCACTAAAGGATTTAGATTGGTCGCTAAGTATCGGCGACGAAAATATCGTCGCAAAATCTTGCTTTCGTCACGTTATTTTCTATCGTCGCCAAAAAGGCATATGATCGGTATAATTACTTAAAAACTCTTTCGTTAATCTTGCACAGGGATGCCAGAAGTTGTATCAGTGTTCCCCAACAAAATCAACAAGCTCCTAACCACAAGATCGTGGGACTTCATGGGCTTCTCTCAGCAACGAGCTCGGCGGACATCCCTGGAAAGTGACGTCATCATAGGAGTCTTCGACTCCGGGATCTGGCCGGCGTCGGAATCATTTGGCGACGATGGGCTCGGCCCTCCGCCGGCGAAGTGGAAGGGCTCGTGCCAGTTCCCTCCCAATAACTTCACCTGCAACAACAAGATCGTGGGGGCCAAATTCTACCGCACCAACAACGGCACGTTCTCCCCCGCCGACGTACGGTCGCCGGTGGACACCAACGGACACGGGACCCACGTGGCGGCCACAGCCGCAGGCAGCCTGGTTGGTGGGGCCAGCTTTTACGGGTTCGGCGAAGGTACTGTGATAAACCAACTAGTTTCAATAACTCGATCTATAATTTTAATTTGTTTTATATATAGAATTTGTAATATAATTCAAATTAGAAATGTTCAACGATATCTTTTTTTTTTTTAAGAAAAAGACATTATGTATTTTGCCCCAACATTCATGAAATTTATGATGGATTTATTAGTTTCTTTCTATGTACATAATAACATGATTACTTATACGAAAGTCGATTTATGAGTTTTGCACATGTTTTCTCATATCATATATTTTAAAACAATGATTAATATTGAGGATCTTGAGAACTTGAACATTTTTACGGACAAACCAAGTTATAATACTATATTATAAATCAACTGGTCCCAACAATTCGAACTGTCAGGACAGATACGTGATATTTAATCACTTTCTTACAGGTATGGCGCGTGGCGGGGTGCCGTCGGCTAGGATCGCCGTGTACAAGGTGTGCTGGGAGGGGAACTCGTGCTACGACGGCGACATACTGGCGGCTTTCGACGACGCCGTCGCCGACGGCGTGGATCTGATCTCGGTCTCCCTCGGGGCGGATATCAGCCGGGACCATTTCGAGGATCCGATAGCGATCGGGTCGTTTCACGCGATGAAGGAAGGGATACTGACCGTGGATTCGGCGGGGAACGACGGCGTTCAGGGGCTTTACACGGTCAGGAACTTCTCTCCGTGGTCGCTTTCCGTGGCGGCTACCGCCATTGACCGCCAGTTCTTCGCCCAAGTCCGATTGGGAAACAATCAAACTTTCCAAGTGAGTAGGTTTCCTTTCATTTTCTTAATGTCTTTTTTATTTTATTTTTATAATAGCCATATTTAACTAGCATATATTATCCCGAAACTAGGGCTGGCTATTTGGTCCAGACTGTTTGGTTTTATCCGAAACCGGACCGTATAACTCGAACCGGGACCGCACTGGGACCTGATAGCAAACAATCCAATCTCATATTCGGGCATAGATTTGAGGTAAAAAAAAACCCGGATAAAGACCGGATAAGAGACCCCAACACTCAAATCCCCACAAGTTCAATCTAAAATCAAGATCAAATTGAGACCGGACCGGATCAAGACCGGACTGTATCCAATCCCATCTTTGGTTCTTATATTACCGAAAAAACCGGACTGAAACCGGATAAATTTGGTTCAATTTAACCGGACCGGACCGTATAGCCACCCCTAGTTGAAACGTGCTGACGTCGTTGAATCACCTTCGTGCATTCTAAATTGTTGAATTAGTGTGGTGATATAATTTAGGATATAATAATTTAGGGCCCATTCTGAAATTTTGGAGGCTTAGTTAGAGAAACTAAATAATATGGGTCTTGAAATTTTGGAGGTACGTAGATGTATCTTATACAAAAACTCAAAACTAAACCGACTAGCTAGTTCACTAGTCATATAAGCCTAGACTCTAAATTTTGTGAGGTTCCAAAACCAGTTTTTCGAGAAGCCAAAAACTAAATCCATAGTTTATATTATCCATTCAGTATTTTACATACAAACAAATAAAAACATCAAAATAAAGAATGAAAGATCAGGTACGTCCGACTCGGAGTATTTTTAAATCGATATACTTTGAAGAGTAGTATCGAGTGTTGACTCAAAATATAAAAAATCATGTTTGAATTTTTTTTAATGGGTATCAATTGCACATACTCGATAATTTATTTAATCGTTTTGATCTATTTGGCAATGTTAGGGCATCGCAATCAACACATTTGACATTGGGAACACAATGTATCCCATCATTTATGGAGGAGATGCCCCTAACATCAGTGGCAATTTCAGCAGCTCCATATCAAGGTTAGTTGTTGATTAGTAATATTACAAATAATTAGAGTATAGATTAATTGATGATGCTTTAATACGTCAAATCAAAACTTAACTTTTCAACTGTACGTACAGGTTATGTGCAAACAACTCGTTGAATCCCGATTTAGTAAGAGGTAAAATTGTGTTGTGTGACTCCATAGTCGGCGCACTTGTCCCTGTTTTGGCCGGCGCGGTGGGTTCCATAGTCGCAACGGACCGTCCCGCCGGAGCACCGGCCGAGAATCCTCCGTCGCCGGTTTCAGTTTTGACTAGGCGTCAAGGTTCCACCATCCTAGCCTACATAAGATCCACAAGGTATACTAATCCAAATTAAAAATTACGACTTTACACGTGTTTAATTTGCTACAATAATTTTTCTTCCTAGGATTTGCTTGCTATATGCTTGATATTATAAGACTAACCCAATGAATTCATAAGTTAGAAGTGACTATTTGAATATAGTACTATATATTTGTGTCAATTTAACATTTGAAATTATAACGTACGCGTTTAACTATTCGAATCAGCTCCAATTACAACTCCTAATTGTAGAATTTTTTTTCAATTTTTTTTGTTTTGTTTTAGGAATGCAACCGCTACTATATCAAAGAGCAACGTGTGGAAGGACGAACAAGCGCCTTATATTGCCTCATTTTCATCTCGAGGCCCAAATCCAGCCATCCTTGACATTCTTAAGGTACGTTTCTTTTGGCAAGTGTTCACATATTATGTTATATATACTATATAGAGTGATGTTCCTTACAACATCCTATAACAAAATAATAATAATAATAATAATAATAATAAGAAAAAAATGAAGCAATTGGATCAAATTTTCTCAGTTGCAACACAAAGTAGGGACTAGGGATGCATCAATTTGTTGAAGAAATTATAATTATTTTATTTTACATCAATTTGAATTGGCAGGAGGAGGGACAAGTATTTTGAAATGATGCATCAATTGTTATTAGAGAATTTTGAAATAATTCAGTCAAATTACCTCATTTTATAAATTCACCAACCAAACTACCCTTAAGTAATTCCATTGGTTAATCATGTAAATAAAATTTCACCTATTTTCATACACACAACTTATTTCGCATTGGTTTTTTATGACTATATTACGTTATCTTATAAACTAGTTTATCATTACGATTTCTCTTTAAAAAAAATCATTCCACTCCACATTTTTACAATCTAATCAATTGATTTTCTCATCAATATCGCTATAACATATTACGTTATCTTATAAACTAGTTTATCATTACGATTTCTCTTTAAAAAAAAACATAGGTTAACCAACGTACGTACGTTTGACTTAATTTGCATGCATGCAGCCGGACATATCAGCACCCGGAGTCAACGTCCTCGCCGCCTGGCCCCCAAACGCGCCAATCACTCCCTACCCAGCCGAAACCCGAACCTCTCGGTTCAACTTCCAGTACGGCACCTCAATGGCCTGCCCCCACGTCACCGGAGCGGCCGCTTACGTCAAATCGCACCACCCCCAATGGTCCCCCGCCGCCGTCAAATCCGCCATCATGACCACCGCGCTGCCCATGAGCCCCTTGACCAACCCGGATGCCGAGTTCGCCTACGGCTCCGGCCACCTCAACCCGCTCGGCGCCATCGACCCCGGGCTAGTATACGACGCCGGGGAGCCCGACTACGTCAGGCTGCTGTGCGGGCAAGGGTACAACACCACGGCCGTGCGGATGATTGCGAGAGATAACTCGAGTTGTTGGGAGACGGGAAACGGGACGGTGTGGGATTTTAACTACCCTTCTTTCGCGGTTTCGGCCACGGCTGATGAGGTGGTGGCTAGGGTTTTTAATCGGGTGGTGACAAATGTTGGAGGGAGTGGGAATGCGAGTTATAGGGCGGTGGTGGAGTCGCCGGAAGGGGTTAGGGTTCGAGTGAGTCCTGGGGTGTTGGGGTTTAGAGCGGTGGGGGAGAGGTTGAGGTTTGTGGTGACGGTGGAAGGTGCGGTGGCGGCGAATTCGACGGTGTCCGGGTCGTTGGTTTGGGACGATGGTGTTCATAAGGTTAGGAGCCCGATTGTTGTGTTTGATTCGGCTATGTAGAAGGACATGGAGTTTTATGATAGTAAATTTTTGAAAGGTTTTAACCTCTTGGTGGTTAGAATGAGTTTATGTATATCATTTAACACAAATTGTTGTCTTTCATGGGGTGCTAATCGGTTCGGTTTCGGTTAACCACTCACCGATAAGGCGGTTAGCAGTTACCCAATAAGCAAAAACCTCATACCGATAACCGTATCGATAAGTCTTTCGGTTAACCACCTTTTATCGGTTTTATTAGCGGTTAACCAATAACTACGAAAATACATTCCAACAAATATGATTATACCTCATCGAACCAACAACTTCAATTTTCTTTCACAAAATATAATAAACCGAAACATTAATCGCTTAAAATACACAAAATCATCAACCCATTTAAGTTTAACAAGTGTCATTTAACATCAATTTCAGCCCACAAACATAACAATGACCAAGAATACAGAGTACTAAATATTAAGGACGAATCATCATACAACTAATTCAAAATAATTTATCCACATTTTTACATTATTAACATAAAATAATGATTATAAGAAATAATATCAATATAATACAACATTCATCACTATTCCGTAATTTAATCGAAATTCCAATGCATAATAGGTAGGAATTGAGATGTTTGGAATTTTGACTTTGGTGGTTTTGAATCTTGGCATTTTCCCCCTTAGCCAAAGTCCAAAACCGTGTAGTTATACTAGAAGGCGGTTATCGGTTAACCACGAATCGATTAGTCGGTTAGCAGTTAACTACTAAACAAAATACTACTAACCGAAGCCGAACCAATAAGAAATTATCGGTTATCAATTAAACACTAACGGCCTTTATCGGTTCGTTTTTTGGTTTTAACCGACTAATCGCTTACCACACCTAAATATTGGTAATGAGTTTGTACGTAGAAACTCACTATTGAGAAAGATATGTTGATATGACTTGAATCTAATTATTTGCTATCTACTGAAATGAGCTATACACGTGCGTTGGGGTTTTTAGTTCCGAGTCTGGTTTATAACCTTATTCTTTACTAGATTGGACTAGTGTTAGCGCGTACGAAGAAGTACTATATATACTTCTCAATCCTTTTGTAATCAAGCAATAATCTCTTTAAGCACAGTGGAATTGGTTCTCTCTTGTCCGCGAACTAACTAACACAATATTGTATTATTAAATCACATAAATATATATGTGTTCTTACTTTCTTTCATTGTTGACTTTCCCGTTCAGTTTTAAGATGGTATGTTTTGGGTTATGTGTATGAGCCATCATTAGTTTCTACCTTCTACCCTAGTGATCCCAAAACCACGAACTAGAGAAATGGAATCTATGAACATATGCAAACTCATTACCCTAGTGATGATGATCATGCATGGATGACTATTGATTGAACAGCCCGACCGCTGAGTAATATTCGATCTGATCCGTGCTAAGTTGGGTACTATCCGACCTACTACAATAGCATGAGGTGCATGAATTGCTACTTTCAACCTATCCTGTCTCGCTCCGCTCCATTATTGACTCGTGTTATCTCAAAAAAATTTAATATGTATTTCTCATATTTTGACTTTTTTCAAACATACTTATACCCAATTAAATTCTAAAGAGGTAAAGAGCTTCAGACTCAATTATAATTCTATTATCACCGTATTCATGAATTTGTAGGAGCCAGTGCCGTATGAACAAGTGCAGGATCATAACTAAGAAAGCTAAGTGATCACAAAGGCGTGGAATCAAGGGAGAACTTCATGATCAGCTTGGTTAATTGGTATCATCAATTCTTGTCCTTTTCAGTCTCTATGACTAATGATCTGAAATTTTGGAATGGTATTTTGGTGTTTACCCTTCCTCCATTGCTACCCTATAAAAACCTGTCCCAAAGGGTAATTAAAGACCATCTATCTTTCTACCAAAAAAAAAAAGACCATCTATCCTCCAATCTAATAAGCAAATCTTCTTACGCAGCCATGGGAAGAGAAGGAAGAAGTCCTCCATCTTCGCGGTTTCTTGCCAAAACGCAATTTGCATTATGTGCCTTCTTCCTTATGATCACTTGCTGCCGTGCTACTCCTGTTCAAGAAAGAAAGGCATTTCTTTTTCTATCCAGCCTTATTACTTCTTTTCACTTAATTTAAATAACATGTGAGAATCATTTGTTACTAATAGAACGAACCAAATCCTCATTTATAAACATCACCATGTCCAATCTACTATGGAACTTGTATGTACACATTTACTATATGGAACTTCTATACAGTCATTTGGGATAATGGAATCGTTTAGAAGAGATTAGAAAATAGGACCATATGTTAAAAATAATAGTGACAAGGAGTTTTTGGGTAATAAAGGTGGACTTGTAGGACTGATCTGCACAGTATCAATAAATAGTTGGACTAAACCTGAAATTTCGCTAATGGGCTCTTCGTCGCCAGGTGTATATAGCATACATGGGCAACCGTCCAAACAGCCAAGCTTCTCTTCCCGCGCTACACTTCGGCTTGCTTCACCGCATCATTGGCAGTGCTAAGGTCGCCTCCGATTCCTTGATCTACAGCTACCACCGGACCTTCAACGGCTTCGCTGCCAGACTAACGGAGGCCGAGCATCAGAAACTTTCCGGTGGGTGTTTTTTCCCCCTTCCTCCTTTCCGTCGTCGTCGGAGATTCAATGGCTTACTCTGTTTTCCTTCATTACGGCAGCCTATGAAGGTGTAGTTTCTGTGTTTCCGAACAAGATCGCGAAGCTCCACACTACGAGATCATGGGATTTCATCCGCTACCCCAAGAATGCTTCGAAATCCACCCGCCGCCAACAGAGCAACCTGATCATCGGAGTGCTCGACACCGGAATATGGCCGGAGTCCCCGAGCTTCGACGATTCCGGGTACGGCCCACCTCCAAAGAAATGGAAGGGTAGCTGCCAATCGTCCTCCAATTTCACCTGCAACAAGTAATTAAACAAACACTAAACCCTAACTATGCTCTGTTTTGTCCGCCCCCAATTTCATAACCTAATAATGGTCTGGAATTTGGTAGCTTAAATTGGAATGGCCCTTTTTCTTTGTAGTAAGATAATTGGAGCTAGGTACTACAATGCGGAAGGAGATTATGGTCCAGGAGACATCCCTTCGCCGCGGGATTCCGAAGGCCATGGAAGTCACACTGCATCCACTGCAGCAGGGAACTTTGTCACCCCTGCTAATCTCTATGGCATCGCCAACGGGACTGCCCGCGGAGGGGTCCCCGCGGCTCGAATCGCAGTCTACAAGATCTGCTGGGCTTATGGATGTTCATATGTTGATATTATGAAAGCTTTTGATGATGCTTGTTCTGATGGAATCGACATGGTCTCGCTCTCGGTCGGTGGTTCGCCGTTGGAGTATTTCCGTGACCCCATTGCTATTGGGGCTTTCCATTGCATGAAGAAGGGAATTTTAACCTCCAACTCGGCTGGCAACTCCGGTCCTTTTCCTGGATCAGTCTCCAATAACTCTCCTTGGTCACTTACTGTTGCTGCAAACACCATTGACAGAAAGTTGACGACCAATGTCATGTTGGGTAATGGCGAAATTTATAATGTGAGGACATGGGAAGTTTCAAGTTTTGTGTTGTTAACTTCATTGTGTTGTATACTATATTAGGGGATTAAGGATTTAACCACAGCAGAACTTGTTTCTTTTCTTTCTACCTCAATCATGCAGGGGAGCTCTCTCAACACTTTTGTGCCCAATAAACCGATGTACCCCCTTATATACGGTGGAGATGCACCAAATAGGACTGCAGGATATGATGGAAACGTTTCCAAGTGAGTAAAAGAAAAATGAGTCTAAAGCAGTTCTGAACCATATCTACAATACAATGCAATTTTAGCATTATCATTACAAAAACATTGCAGGTATTGCTACTCGGGTTCCTTGGATAGAAACCTGGTGCAAGGGAAAATTGTTTATTGTGAGGTTGCCAGCCAGGGAGATGGACCTATAGAAGCTGGTGCTGCTGGTGCCATTATGGGAAACTATCCACAGGGAGATGTGGCGTTTCCTTTCCTTCTTCCAGTGTCTCTCTTGAACGAAACGGATGGAAGCAATGTTTTGACGTACTCGAACTCAACCAGGTACAGCAGAAATGGATTGCTGCACCTTATTGTTGAATGCATATATGGACATCATGTTGAGTTCTTGTGATTTCTTTTGCTAGTGACCCAACTGCAGTGATTTACAAGACAGTTGACTACCTGGACGGCTCATCTCCTTACGTGGTTTACTTTTCCTCGAGGGGTTACAATCCGATAACCCCTGACATTCTCAAAGTAAAAAAATGAAGTAGCTCTCAGTTTTGGTTCTTGTTGTTTTGGTTTCCTTAGCTTAATCTGATAAGATCATGTATATGCAGCCGGACGTGACAGGACCTGGAGTAAACATACTAGCAGCGTGGTCTCAAGGTACAACTATGACAGGTCAACCTGGGGACACAAGAGTTGTCGCATACAACATCATTTCTGGTACTTCAATGTCTTGCCCCCATGCAACTGGAGCAGCAGCTTATGTTAAATCTCTCCACCGCACTTGGTCCCCTGCTGCCATTAAGTCAGCTCTTATGACAACAGGTGTTCGTGTCACTATGGAAATCTATCAGCATCACCCTTTAGCCAATTCTGTGAATAATCTCTAAAGATAGCAAGAAACAGTTTGAAGACAATTTGTACTAATCTATATTTCCTAACATGCAGCACGACCCCTGAGTGCCAAGTATAATCCTGAGGCGGAGCTAGCATATGGGACGGGACAAATCAATCCCATCAAGGCAGCAGATCCTGGACTTGTATATGATGCTAGGGAGAAGGATTATGTCATATTTCTCTGCGGCCTGGGGTATTCGACCAAACAACTCCGGCTTGTCACTGGAGACCCGAGTGCTTGCACTGCAGCTACAAATGGAACCGTGTGGGATCTAAACTATCCTAGTTTTGCCCTATCGGCAAACAGATCAGGAGTCTCTGTGACTAGGGTATTTCACAGAACCGTCACAAATGTTGGATCAGCAAATGCAACCTATAAAGCCACGGTAACTGCACCAGCAAACCTTAAGGTTCGAGTTAGCCCAAGTGTGCTTAGTTTCAAGACTATTGGGAAGAAAAAGTCATTTGCTTTGAAAGTCTCTACCGTGGTTGGGCAGAATACCATCTCTGGTGCTCTGGTCTGGAGTGATGGGAAGCATTTAGTAAGGAGTCCTATTGCTGCATTTATGTCATCCAGCGAGTGATCCTCAGTTTCTATGGGAAAATTTTAGTTGGTGGCATGTTGGATGCAAGTATATGTTCTGGTAAATAATATTTGCAGTTATAGCAGAATCAAAGTTGTAATGTTACTTTTGATTCATCTACATTGAAATATAATATCATCTTTATCACTCGTTTACTGCCAAATATAATATCATCTGTGCTGTAGATACCTTTCCAAACACTTATATTTTACAGGTCTTTCATCCAGTCGATCACAAGGCAACAGCATTTGAAAAACTACACTAAAACAGGGAGTTACTTCACGTGTAGTTTTTATCTTGACAGATTAAGTAAGGAGGGTGATGTTGGGGAATGAATCCAATATTCCTTCCATAGTTTTAATAAGTTTTAGTCATCACCATAGCTAAACAAGATTTGAAAATTGAAGCTAGCCGGCCGGCTGCTGGCCAGTTGCAGAACGGCATTAGTCAAAGGTGTATGCATAATCTCACCATTTGTAGGACTTAGGGGGGCTCCAAAAGGTACACGGAGAACAGGTACATAAAAAAAACTATGTTTGAATGATCATCGTCATAGAGAAGCTAGCAAGGAATCAATGGAATTGAACGGCAAGTGGCTTAGGCAAAGCTTTTGGTGGTTTGCTTCCATGCATACATGATGTATATAAATATGGGTTTTGTTCAAAGCAATATCCCACAAAGTACTTTCAACAGAAATGGCGGCAATAAGCATAATCTCGAGGCTTCTCATTCTCAGCCTGCTGGTTCTCCCATTCGTAGTCAAGCTAAGCTCTGCTGCTAATTCCGAAGACGTCCATGGCCGCAAGGTACTTCTTCTACTGCTTCACTACAATGCATGATTGCCCATTAGTTATCAGCTTTCCTAAGATTAATGCGTGTATTTTGTACTGCACAACTTTGTCAGAGATTTATTGTGTACATGGGAGGACGACCAGTTAATGTTGCTGGGGAGCTATCTGTATCTTCCCTTCACGTCAGTATGATACAGAGAGTAGTTGGCAGGTACGTACTTCCAAATTCTCATTAGTCATTAGGAGAAAAAACGACTACTCTACTCATTTACGTAGCTTACCTAGCTGCTTTTAATGGCCAAAATGGATGGATGCAGCAGCAACTTCTCCCCGGATCTACTGGTGAAAAGCTTCAAGAGGAGCTTTCATGGGTTTGTTGTCAAGTTAACAGATAATGAAGCACAAAAGATCGCCGGTGAGTGTTCCGGCTTGATCCCGCTGATACTAATGAACTCGTATGATCTGAATGAGCTGGTTTTGATGCATTGTATTAACGATATGGGGTTTTCAATTTCGCAGCACTAACAGGAGTGGTATCCATTTTTCGCGACGAAAGCTATCAACTCCAGACGACAAGGTCGTGGGACTTCATCGGATTCCCTCAAAATGTTGAAAGACTAGCTCTTGAACGTGACATCATCATCGGGATGCTGGACACCGGAATTTGGCCGGAATCCGAGTCCTTCAACGACACGGGGCTCGGTCCACCTCCAGCCAGATGGAAAGGAATCTGCCAATCTTCCTCCAACTTCACTTGCAACAAGTAACATACATAACATCTATACCATTTAACTCTTCAACTGCAAAATCTGTTAGCTTGGCAAATACAATTAGAGGTGTCAATTGGGCGGGTTGGTTCAGGTTTGGATTGGGTCTAACTGGGTTGGGTTCAATCGGGTTGTCAGTTCAATCGGGTCGGTTTCAATTTGGATCAGGTTTAATTGGGTTGCAGGTCAATTAGGTTACGAGTCAATCAGGTCACTGGTCATCAATTGGGTTACGGATCGGGTTGGGTTACGGGTGCATCAAATTACGGGTTTATTGGATTGCGAGTTAATTCGGGTTCGGTCAGGTCGGATTATGGGTTATTCGGGTCAACCCATTGGATCATTTACTTCTTGACAGAAAATAATGTTTTACAAACTATCAATATATGAATATAAATTGTAGGTAATGATACAAAATTTAAGAAAATGATAATATGATAATATTTTACACATACAAATTAAATATCCATTATGTTAGTATAAAAACTAAATATAAATAAAATAGTGTATATAAAAGTTTTGTTGTTGGTTATAATTTTTTGTTTATGGTGAGAGATTGTAACTTCACTTATTTTATTAATTTATAATAAAATTGAATCAGTAAAAATTTGAGAATGAAGTAAAAAAGATAGACTATATGCTTATACATCTCGAAATGAATCGTTTTAATTAAATATAGTATGAACTAGATGTGTGTCTCTTCATTTTCACGAAGAATTATGAACATCATTTCGAATCACCCACTTATATATCTTCACAATTTTTCATATATTCACGATAGCATCTCATCTTAAAACTCATGGGTCGAACAATGGTTCGCTCAAATATGATATTATCATCTATTTTGAATCGTCGATTTATTAATTTATAAAAAATAAATAAAATCAGTAAAAAGTTGAGAATGAAGTAAAAAGGGTAAACTATCCACTTATAGTTATATATCTTGATAGAAATCATTGATTTCATTGATTTTGGGGATTTCATTGATTTTCAAGGGTTGATTTTTTTAATATAGTTATTGTTGGTGGAGATACGAATTTGTGTCTAACTCTTCCTATTATCTTCAAAAATTTATTCTTTGAATTTCATAAAATAAAAAATGAATGAAAAGATATTTCACATATTATTATTTTAAAAATTAAATATTTAAAAAAAACCTCAATTTATACCATCAATTCAACAAATAACTTTCAATTATTACGAGAACACCAGTTCTTTCTTGGTAAATTTAAAAATATAATAATGTATATATTGAATTTTTGTACAAGCATTCGGGTCAAATGGATTATTCGGGTTATTCGAGTTGGGTTCGGTTCGGTTACGGGTTATTTGGGTTATGAATCATTCGGGTTATAAATGGGTCGGATTATGGGTTGGATCGAATAACGAGTTCATCTAGTTATGGGTTGATCGGATTACGGGTCAATTGATTTCGGGTTACGAGCGGGCTTCGGATGGTTGACTGTTTGTCAAATCGAGTTATGGACGGGTTGTGGGTCGGGTGGGTTGGGCGGATTAGTCGGGTCGGGTTCAATTTTGACAGCTCTAAATAGTAAATACAATTCCGGGGGATGTGGTCACTTGACTGAAATTATGACGGCAGAATGTATTTGTTAAATTTGACTTGTTAAGGGATGTGGTAACTGGAAGAAAAATAATTAGAGGAGGGCTTTTTTGCTAGAAAATTAAAAGTTGGGGATCACGAGAGACATCAACCATTTAAATAGCGGATCATCTTATTTTCCCCTTTGGCAGTAAAATCATCGGGGCACGGTTTTACAGTGCCAGGCAGCCGCCGGCGGCGGGCGAGTTCGCATCGCCTCGAGATTCTCAAGGCCATGGAACCCACACTGCATCCACGGTCGCCGGAGGGCTCGCTCCGGCTGCGAGCCTCTATGGGTTCGGCAACGGAACAGCTCGAGGCGGAGTTCCATCGGCTCGAATTGCTGTCTACAAAATCTGTCTCCCTGAGCCCATCGGCTGCCTTGCCTCGAGCATTCTGGCGGCCTTCGACGATGCGATCGCCGATGGGGTCGACATCATCTCGCTTTCAGCCGGGGCTTCTTTCGCCACGGACTACTTCCAAGATCCCATAGCAATCGGAGCTTTCCACGCCATGAAAAATGGCATCCTGACCTCGAATGCCGGCGGTAACGCCGGTCCTGACCGGGGAACCATGGGTAATGTCTCTCCCTGGTCGCTCTCCGTGGCAGCTAGCACCATTGATCGCAGGTTTGTCACTCAAGTGCAGCTTGGAAACAACGTTAGTTACCAGGTATTATCCTTTCCCCTAATTTCATTTCTAGGGGTTTGCATCTGCATTCTTGTTTGATTGCTTCGCTTCTGAATTACAAAGTTTTGACCTTTTGGGGATGTGCTTGCTCTCTTGTACAGGGTGTTTCTATCAATACGTTTGACATGAACGGCACAATGTTCCCTCTCGTTTATGCTGGATATGTCCCGAACACCAATTTGAACTTCACTGGTTTGGAATCCAGGTAATGGCTTTGGCTTTAGCTTCCTTTTTCAAAACTACTACATATGGGTTTATTTTTTTTATGGAGTTCCTGGATCAAGTTTTGATATTGAATCGAACTCGGCTTGTATCTTACACCTCAGGCTCTGCCTTAACAACTCCTTGGATCCACGTCTAGTGAAAGGGAAGATTGTTCTTTGTGCCAAGGGGGATAGAGAAGCACCACTTCAGGCAGGTGCCGTTGGCAGTGTGATGCCAGGTTTTCAGGACGTGGCCGGTCTGTTTCCTATCCCTGCATCTCAGCTTCCTGTTCAGGACATTGGCCAAGTCTTGACCTATATTAACAGAAACAGGTACGAAGACTGCACTTTGATTCTGGTAGTAGGAAGAGATTACGGTGAAAGCAGTTAACCAAAATAATTGAATTTGCAATCGCAGCAATGCAACTGCTACCATAAGGAGAAGTACAGAAGCCACAGATAAGTTGCCATCAATGGTTGCTCTCTTTTCATCAAGGGGTCCAAATACAATCACTCCTAATATTCTCAAGGTACATCTAAAGTTGGAAAACACCATCGAAAGTAGTTCAATCAGGTAGGATCTTGCTTTCTTGGTATAATGTATAATTGCTTGCAGCCAGATATAGCCGCACCAGGAGTAGACATTCTAGCGGCTTGGTCTCCAGTGAGTCCTATAACCGAGTTACCAGCAGATCCTAGATTCTCTTATTACAACATCATCTCAGGAACATCAATGGCTTGTCCGCATGCGACTGGGGCTGCTGCTTATGTCAAATCCTTTCACCCCACATGGTCCCCTTCTGCTATCAAGTCTTCCCTCATGACCACAGGTAAATTATGCAAAGCAGCAGCAAGTTCAGATTTCTGGTCATATTCCTGATGCGGCTTCTAGTTATAATTTCTTACTTAAAACTCCCCTTGTGTAGCTTCTCCAATGAGTTCTGAGGTCACCCCTGATGCTGAACTTGCCTATGGAGCAGGGCAGCTTAATCCTGTGAAGGCTGTGAATCCTGGGCTGATATATGATGCTGAACCAGTAGACTATGTCAAGTTCTTGTGTGGACAAGGCTACAGCACAAGGGTGTTGCGGCTTATAACCGGAGATCGCTCTGCTTGTTCTCAAGCGATCAATCAGACAGTTTTTGAGCTGAACTACCCATCTTTTGCCCTCTCGGTCTCCGGTTCTTCAAGTAATGCCAGCAGAACCTATAAGAGGGTTGTGACTAATGTTGGAGTAGCAAATTCCAGTTATAAGGCGATTGTGAGTGCCACACCTGGGCTGAAGATCCACGTGGCTCCTGGTGTCCTGTCTTTCAATTCTCTTGGTGAGAAGAAGTCGTTTACCTTGAGTATTCAAGGAGCCATGGCTGGGAACATAAGCTCGGCTTCTTTGACGTGGGATGATGGAGAGCATCGAGTGAGGAGTCCCATTGCTGTGTTTTCAACCGAGCTTTAGGACAAATTGATGGAGCTGGCAAAGTGAGGTGCAAGCTGCAGAGGAATGAGGGAAAGCACGGATATTATTCATGAGTCATATTGATAGTTGATTTTCTTATGGGGAAAGGATTCGAAGTTCAATCTTATGTTGCTGTATTTGTTTTTTATTTATTTGATGTAATGACGAATTAGATGCGGAGATGTGGGCAGGACTCAGGATTACCTGATGCGATCCTTTGTTTGAACCTGTGGTTGATGCCGATGTCTGTAATAGGTGAGTGTTCTTTCTTTTGTCATACATACAATTCGTTCCATGTCTGATCGTTATAATGTCTGTTTAATTCTCCTATAAAAGCACTACAACAAAATTGTGTTTGCAGTGGAAAACAAAACATATTAAAGTTAGAAGAAGTTTCTTCACATTAGAAAACATGGGAAAGGCTATACATGCTTCTTTACTTTCTTCATCATGCCTTCTTGTGGTGGTTGCATGCTGTCTAGTCGTGAGTTGCAGAGGCAGTACTGCTGGCAGTGACAACTTACATAGAGACAGAAAGGCATATCCATTGGCTTCCCTTTCATGTGTTTTACTTATGATCATCATGTTCTCAGTTCTTACACATTCCTTTCCGTTCGCCTTGTGTTTGCATTTAAAATATCATCTTTCTCATTCATTGACGACGGAGTTTGCATGTATGGTTGCAGTTATACATTGTGTACATGGGCGACCGCCCCAAGGCGGATGTCCCACCTTCCGCACTCCACCGCAGCTTGCTCCACCGCGCCACCGGCAGGTAAGAAAAACAAGAAGAAGACATTCCACAGCCCATTCGATTTGAAACTTGACATTAATATGAAAATCTGAGTTTGTGTTTCGTCCAGTCTAAGACTTGCAGCAGATTCCTTGGTCTATAGCTACCACAGGAGCTTCAACGGCTTTGCTGCCAAGCTGACCGAGTCCCAGAAGGACAGACTAGCCGGTGGGTCTAGCAAAATTCAACCAACTCATAACAGGCTAACTAATCTAGCTCTTTCAATAATACAATTCTCATTATCCTCTGGCTTTCTGTTTCCAGGATACAAAGATGTAGTGTCTGTGTTCCCTAGTCGGATGAAAAAACTCCACACCACAAGATCCTGGGACTTTCTGGGTTTCCCACAGAACGTCACAAGAGCAACGGTGGAGAGCGACATTATCATCGGAATGCTCGACACCGGAGTTTGGCCTGAATCCCAAAGCTTCAACGATTCAGGCTATGGTCCTCCTCCAAAGAAATGGAAGGGCACCTGCCAGTCCTCTTCCAATTTCACCTGCAACAAGTAATTCACCAATCACCACTTTTGACCCCACTGTCATGACCTTATTTACCTGATTTCATGTAATAAATAAAAAATGCGTTTAATATCCAAGTTAGTGTTTACCATACTTTACTAGCCATTTACTAAAATCTTTTTCCCCCCCTTCTGTGATTTAACTCCTTTTGAGCAGTAAAATCATTGGAGCTAGATACTACCACACTGAAGCCAACTTTACTACAAAAGATTTCTCATCCCCCAGAGATTCCGAAGGTCATGGGACTCACACTGCATCCACTGCAGCAGGCAGCATTGTAACACCTGCCAGTGTCCTTGGCATTGCTTCTGGGACAGCCCGGGGAGGGGTGCCCTCTGCCAGAATCGCTGTTTACAAAATTTGCTGGTCCGCTGGATGCTCCGACGCGGACATTTTAGCAGCGTTCGATGATGCCATCGCAGATGGAGTCGACATAATCTCCCTCTCGGTTGGTGGGTTTTCTGCAGTGGATTATTTTGAAGACTCCATTGCTATTGGGGCTTTCCATTCCATGAAGAACGGAATTCTTACGTCCAACTCAGCTGGTAATGCTGGCCCTGCTCCTAAAACTGTCTCGAATTGCTCTCCTTGGTCGCTTTCCGTGGCTGCTAGCACCACAGACAGAAAGTTTGCGACTAATGTGAAGTTGGGCAATGGAAAGGTTATCAAGGTGAGATGGCTGAATCCTGCTAATTATTGTTTGGCCTGATTTTCTTGCCTTTCTTCTTTTTGTGTTGGGGTTTTCGGGAATTCCTAATTCAAGCACTGCACTACGTACATGGACTCTGTTCCAACGCTACGCTATGCAGGGAAGCTCTCTGAATACATTTGAGCCTGGTCAGAAGATGTATCCCATAATCTATGGTCGCGATGCGCCAAATAAGACGTCTGGTGGTGATGCGTCAAGGTGAACAATTTTCAAGACCTTTATATAAACGTAGTGTTAAGACTTATGACTTATGAGTCAGTAAATCGCAAGGCAATCATGTCAAAAACTGACCCACCCGTAAATATTGTAGGTACTGTTATCCAGGCTCATTGGACAAGGATCTCGTGCAAGGGAAGATTGTGTACTGTGATGATGCTTCCGGTTCCGTAGAGGGACAGATCGAAGCGGGCGCCATTGGTTCTGTAATTCAATCTTCTTCACCTTATGCAGAAATGGAATCTCCATTCCCTTTACCCGTTTCCCTCCTGGGTGCTGCTACTGGAGCTGAACTTCTGGAATACTTAAATTCAACAAGGTTTATATACTCAAACGAACTACATGTAGACTGATACATGATGTCAAAGAAGTGGCTTAACCTCTAACTGCACTATTTGTGACGTACCTGCAGTTATCCAACTGCAGTGATATCGAAGACCTCTGAATACGTAGATTCTAGTTCATCCCCTCATGTGGTGTTCTTTTCATCAAGGGGTCCTAATCCCATAACAAGTGACATCCTTAAGGTAACAATTGACGGCAAAAACACAAGAAGGAAAATTGTCAAATGGTTCGCTAGGGTTTGGATGAATCCTGATGGTTCTTGGATTGTTATTATGTAGCCGGACTTGACAGCACCAGGATTGAACATCTTGGCTGCATGGTCTGAAGGAACCACTTTGTCAGGTCAAACTGGAGACAAGAGAATCGTCCCATATAACATCATCTCTGGGACATCCATGTCTTGCCCCCACGTGTCGGGAGCTGCTGCTTATGTTAAATCGTTTCACCCTACTTGGTCTCCTGCTGCCATTAAGTCTGCTCTAATGACAACAGGTACATATACTGTATCCTGTTCAACTGATGGCCACTTTCTGTGTAGATTACGTATCTATCCGATTATCACATGAGTTTTCTTTCATTTGCAGCTCGTTCGTTGAGTGTCAAAGACAATGCTGACGCGGAGTTTGCATATGGGTCGGGCCAAATCGATCCTGCAAGAGCTGCAGATCCTGGACTAGTATATGATGCAAGGGAGAGTGATTATGTTAAGTTGCTTTGCGGCCAAGGATACACCACAAAACAACTCCGCCTTGTGACAGGAGATCAAATTGCTTGTTCAACGAAGACGAACGGGACAGTGTGGGATCTGAACTATCCTTCTTTCGCTCTATCGTCGTCCACGTCTGGGAACTCTGTGACCCAAGTGTTTCACAGGACCGTCACTAATGTTGGGAAGCCGGTGTGTAGCTACAGGGCGACGGTAAATGCACCGTCGGGGCTTAAGGTTCAGGTTGTGCCAGATGCGCTTAACTTCAAGAGCGTTGGTGAGAAACAAGAGTTTGTTGTGACAGTCACTGCTGCATTGGGGAACTCTACGATCTCTGGTTCTCTGACTTGGAGTACTAGTGATGGCGGCCACATGGTTAGAAGCCCAATTGTGGCGTTTGTGCGTGACTGATGTAAAGCGGTTCAAAACCAAATTTAGATTTTCTCAATGTCGTTAGCAATTCAGTTATCGATTTGTTGATGTTTTCAATATGATTCATGGTATCAATATGGTAAAAAACAATTTGCATATCCTTTTTCTGGAAAAAATCCAAAACTACCACTATTTAAAAAAAATTACAAAAATACCACAGTTTATTATAAACCGCCCCACCAGACAGCGGTTTACATCATAAACGCCTGGTCGACAGGCGGTTTACAATTTCAGGTAAAACCGCTCCTCGAAGGCGCGGTTTATATATGAACCCTACCACAAAACGCTTCGTGAGGAAGCGTTTAAATGTCGGCTTGGTAAACCGCACCACCAGGCCGCGGTTTACCATGTGCAGACATAAACCGCGCCCCCCAATGGCGGTTTGTGCAAAGTAAACCACTGTCCCAAGGCGCGGTTTGTGCATGGTCGCTCGACATCCAACATGTCGGCATGAAGGGGGTGCATGGTAGACCTAAAACCGCTCCCCCCCTGGGCGGTTTGTACTGCAAAATTCGCCTATAAAAGGCTGTTTAAGAGAACTCAAACTCTTCACTCCTCAAAATCTTCACACTCCTCCTTCTTCAAATTTCAGTTGTGCACCTTTAAATTATTTAGTTTTTGCGATTAACATTAATTCGTAAGTTTGTTTTGTATTACTTTTCATTGTCCTTTGTGATTTTATGTTAGTAACTTAATTACAGTTTTATTGCAGATGACATTCCAAAAGTTCACGCTTGGGTTGCGGTGGAATGGTTACACAGAAGAGACCGAAAATGGTGTAAGTTACGTCGGTGACAATTTTTATAAAATGAAGGTCCGTACGAGACCGATGCTTGAAGAGCTCCATCAAATGTGCACTCAAATTACCTGCATGGATGGCACTAGAAGAGTTGATCAAATGGTGTATCGATATCCAAACAAACATGACGGGTCGCTGTGGAATGAGGAATTCCTCCTTACCACTCAGGAGGACGTTGATGCCATGGTCCAATTTTTGACCACCAATAAAATTAAGCAAGCGGAGATGTTCGTTTACACCGAGGCCGTCAAAGGCTGTGTAGGTCATTCTGGAGATGGCCAAACATCTGGTATCCACGGTGGGAGTGTATTATACGAAGATCATCCCCACCAGGAGTACCAAGACTCGAGCTGGAGGCAGGAGTATCATGATGGAACTGGAGGTCATCATACCAGTACCCACCCGAGTACAACTTCTACCAAAGTGGTGTTAGTTACCACAACTACCATTACGGAGCTGGTGAAGGTGAAGGTGCCTTTCATGATGATAATCAGATAGAAGAAGAGGTCAATCTAAGTCCAGTTAGTGACCCTGAGGTTGAAGAAGAGGAAGGCGATGTTAGTGCAGACAGCTTCGATTATCTGGAAGGTGCTGATGATTCCGGTCCAGATTCAGACGCAGACGGTGATGAGGTACCTTGCGACCGTGTACCTATCTCGTACTAGAATCACATTCAAAATGAAGATTGGTATGTTGATGCCGACATGGACCCGCCAGAGGTGCCAATATGGGGTCCACTCACAGGCTTTGCGAAGGGCCAAAAATTTGCAATGAAGAATGAGGTCCGGCACGCTATTGCCACTGAAGCAATGACTCGGAAATGAGGGATGCAAAGATAGGGTCCGGGCCATCAAGAGCAAGAGAGTCGGCCATTGGGTCATATCCCGTGCGGTGAACACACACCCATGTGTGTCATCAATAACATCCCAAGGCCATCGACAGTTGAAATCAAGGGTGGTTGCCGCGGCTATCAAACATCTAATTGAGGAGCAGCCCGACCTGAAGGTGAAAACCATCATCGCCGACATTTCTAGTCGTTATGGTTATATCATTAACTACAAGAAGGCGTGGCATGGGAAACAGAAAGCAATGGCCGCTGTGTTTGGTGACTGGGAAGAATCATATGCATTCCTTCCCAAATTGATTTTGGCGTTGGAGGTGTCTAACCTTGACACCATTTTCTCGCCTCGCTACCAAGATGAAGAAATTCAACCGCCGGTGCCTGGTAACAAGCGCCATTTCAAGCGTCTTTTCTGGGCATTCAAGCCATGTATTGATGGTTTTCCATACTGTGTTCCTGTGATTCAAGTTGATGGAACATTCCTTACCGGCAAGTACAAGGGTACTCTACTGATCGCCAGCGAAGCAGATGCAAATAGAGCAGTATATTCATTAGCATTTGCCATTGTGGAGGGAGAGAATACCGATAGCGATGGATGGTTCTTCATACAAATTCAGCTCCATGTCACCAGGCGAACGAACATGACTATCATCTCAGATCGCCACGCCGGTATACGGGATGCTATCTTAGGCTTGGATCCAGCTTGGAACTGGTCACAGAGATGGTGCATATGGCATTTCAAAAGCAACTGGAACCATCATTTCAAGCGAAAGAAGCTTGCTGATAGTCTATGGTGGATCGGTAAGCATTCTAATTAATTGTTATATATATTTTTTCAACTGGATAAAACGAGGACTAAATCAATACAATACAATACAACACTTATTTAGACTCTTTATAAAGAAATGCATGTCTAATGAAATGGGGACTTAAGCGATCATCATGATCCCCCCATGACCTGGGAAAATCGGGTTCTAAGCGATCCTCGGATCCCCCCTTTTTCTGTCAAACAGGCTGTGTTTCTAAGGAGATGTATACCTCTCCTAAGAGTCTTACGAGTGTACTTGTATTGAGGGTAATGTCGGTCTTGCTTACCTTACGTTTTTGTTTGATATTCATCAGCTGTCGCTTACCAAGAGAAGAAATTTAAAGAGAAGATGCAAAATATCCGTCAGCTATGCCCTGAAGGTGCGCAGTGGCTTGATCAACATGACCTTGCAATGTGGACGTTTCATAAGGACGGAGGTACCAGATGGGGAATGTCGTGCACTCCCCATCTCTGCAATTGTTGAGATGACATTCTGGAAAACAAACGGATGGTTCGTCAACCGTCTCCACTAGTGTGAGAAGAGGGAGGCACAGGGTAAGGTACACTCCGATCATGCCACAAAAATAATGGAAAATGACAATCGCAAGAGCTCTCGTCACAAAGTCACTGTTATGAACCGAAATGCTGGCAAGTATTCGGTCGAGACTGGGCACTGGGAGGATGGGAGACGTGGGGGTCATCGTCATGAAGTCACCGTCAACTTTAGGACTAAAAAGGGGGAGTGCTCTTGTCAGAAGTACCAGGGTAGAGGTATACAATGGATGTGATGCGCGACAATGCGTTCTGGATACAGATCGAACTTAAGCTACGAAGGTGCAGAAAAAATGGACCATTAAGAAACATAATAATATAAGTTGAAAAAAATGTAGGAAGTAATAGTGTATTATGATGGTCACCTTTGCTTCCCAAAGGCGATCCAGCCTCCTACGATACTCCTCCAACTTATGTGCTCCTAGGTTGTCGCATGTTTTTTCACCAAGCCACCTATTCAATCCAAAAAGTACATCATGTTAATACATAATAGCTGGTTCGTTATAAAATACCCAATTAGTAAAAAAGGTGAGAACTATGAGGGGGATAGAAAATATTTACCTACAACCATAAGCTTCATGTCGTAGGGGATGGTCGGGTCCCCATTCCTTATCGGGATCTACCTTCGGCTCAATCCATGGCAAATACTCCCAAGCCAAAAATTGGGTGATGAGCATGGCCCCATCAGTCTCCTTCACCGCTCTCGCACGAGCATTACAGAGGGAGCGGTAGAGATGGCTAGGCAAGCAGATGTCCAGCTCAGGTTTCCCATATCATCCCAACTCCCAAGTATGATCTTCAACCATGAATTGTTGATTAAATTTTTGGATTTCTTGGGGAAGAAAACTCCTCCGATCATGCCGAGGATGTAGATACGTGCATAAATGTCTTTATCACGCTTCGAACTTTCCTCCTTAAGGGAATGCCTCCGAACTCAGGGTTGTGCTTACGCCTGATCTCCGCTGTCAACCAAGTGATGGATACTTGGCCCTTGGACAATGGTGGATTACCATCCGCATCGTGATCTCCCTTTTCTGGAGGATACAACCCGGTGGACGTCCATATAAAATGCTGCCAACCACTCATATTGGCAACAACTTTAGGTGGTGGCGTAGAGTCCACACAAATAACATCAAAATCGATGGGCAAATCGGTTAGGATGGCGATGTCCTTAAGTGTGATGGTGCACTCGCCTTCACGAACATTGAAGCAGTGTGTCTCCTTTCGCCATCTCTCTACCAATGCTGTGATGAGTTGGCGGTCGATCTTGATTCCATTAAAGTGCCTAATCGAATCCAATCTTGCCCTTTTTAGAAAGGGCAAGATGACGTCGTTCCATTCAAGCACATTCGTCGTGCCCCTATAGCGGACTATATGGTATGCATCATAGAGAAGAATTTAACTTTCACTATAAGTTGATGATTTATACATATAGAAATATATTATAAGATGCAATATTAATTAAATCAAGGCTGTTTTAGAGAAATATACATTATCTAATAAACATTAATTTTAACATAACGAAAATAATTTTTGAAATTTAAGTACAATTATTTTTTTGTACACATACACATAAAATCAAATATATTATTTTGTTAATCGTATTGATTATTTTCAATAATTTAAAGCAATACAAGTACACTCTTAAGACTCTTAGGAGAGGTATACATCTCCTTAGAAACACAGTCTTTTTGACAGAAAAATGGGGGATCCGAGGATCGCTTAGAACCTAATTTTTCCAGGTCATGGGGGGATCATGATGATCGCTTAAGTCCCCATTCCCTGGGTAGAGTGAGGAGTTAGAGAGAGAGGGGGAATGAAGTTTGGTGTGCAAAAATGGGAAGGGGTAAGGGGTTTATATAGGGACGAAACCGCGTGCTGGAGGGGCGGTTTCGTCTTTTTACCCCACTTAAAACCGCGCCTTCAGCGCGTGGTTTACGTTCCCCAATGCGCAAACCGCGCCTCGGGGCAAAGGTTTGACTTAGCGACGCGGATCGCTGAGCTGGCGCGCGGTTTGGCCGTCAGATCGCTTCCCCATCGCGCGGTCGCATGAGCCGCCACATGGCAACGCGGTTTGACATACAGGAAGGGTCAAACCGCCTATTGAACGCGCGGTTTGACTGTGAAC